GCTGGTGCTGTTGGAGCTGCTGGAGGTGCTGCTGGTGCTGGGGCTGCTGGAGCTGCTGGAGGTGCTGCTTCTTCTGGAGGTGCTGCTGGTGCTGAGGACACGGGCGTTGGAGCTGCTGCTGGTGCTGCGGACCCGGGCGTTGGAGTTGCTGCTGGTGCTGCGGACCCTGGAGTCAGAGCTGCTGCTGGTGCTGAGGACCCTGGAGGTGGAGCTGCTGCTGGTGCTGAGGACCCTGACGCTGCGCGGCCGCGGCCGTACTTCGATCCGCTCCTTCAGCAGGTTCTTGGTCAGCCTCCTCCTCCTTGTCCTCCTCCCTCCTTAGAGTGTCCTCCGTCTGTCCAGTCGCAGTCACAGTTACCGTCTGCCTCCCCTCTCCCTGGTCCTTCTCCTTACACTGGTCCGACTGGAGGTCTTACGGAGCGTCGTGAGCCTGAGTCTCGTCCTGCGTCGCCTGAGTCTCGTCGAGCGTCGCCTGTTCGTGCTGCTCACACTGGTCGTCGTGTCCCGCGTCAGCGTCCTCCTGCTGTCCCAGGCACTCACCAGATGGCGCTTCGTCCTTCCACTGCTCCCCAGCGTGTCCCTCTCCCAGCTCCTCCTGCGTCCTCTCTTCCTGCTCTTGCTGACCCTGAGTTTGACTCTCTTCGTGCTGCCAGTCCTACTGTCACGCGTCTCCTGGCTACTGTTGTCACTGACCCTTCCTTTGAGTCCACTGCTGCGTCTGCCTTAGTTGTCGAGCTTGTCGACTTCGCTGCCACTTGTCGTCTCGACTACGCCGCTAGCCTAGTTGCTGAGTCTGAGTCTGTCTGTCCTCCGTCCGTCGGGGGTGAGTGTGCTCTTGGCACGGACGTCCTTGAGGACAGGCAGGAGGAGTTTGAGTGCTTTGCCGCTGCTTTACCTCATCTCGTGTCCATGCTAGTTGCCCCTGAGGGAGACCCGGATGCACCAGACATCCCGACTCCGCGCTCTTACGCAGAGGCGATAGAGGGTCCCTACTCCTCTCAGTGGCAGACAGCCATGGACGCAGAGATGGCTTCCTGGAAGTCCACAGGCACCTGCGTCGACGAGGTTCCCCCACCTGGGGCGAACATCGTCAGTGGCATGTGGATTTTCAGGGTGAAGCGGCCGCCGGGTTCTCCGCCTGTCTTCAAGGCGCGTTACGTTGCACGAGGCTTCAGTCAGCGAGAGGGAGTTGACTTCTTCCAGACCTTCTCCCCGACCCCGAAGATGACCACTCTTCGGGTTCTGCTGCACGTCGCCGCTCAGCGTGACTACGAGCTCCACTCTCTTGACTTCAGCACTGCTTTCCTACAGGGCAGCCTGCACGAGGAGATCTGGCTGCGCCGCCCACCTGGCTTCACTGGGTCGTTCCCTCCTGGTACCCAGTGGAGCCTCCGGCGGCCAGTCTACGGTCTCCGACAGGCGCCACGTGAGTGGCACGACACACTGAGGTCTACACTTGCGGCTCTTGGGTTCGCTCCTTCTACTGCTGACCCGTCGCTGTTTCTACGCCCTGACACCTCGCTGCCGCCGTTCTACATCCTCGTGTACGTCGACGACTTGGTCTTTGCCACTGCAGACACTGCGGCACTCGCCCACGTGAAGTCGGAGCTGCAGAAGAGACACACGTGCACAGACCTGGGTGAACTGACAAGCTATCTTGGCTTGCGGATCACCCGGGACAGAGCACGGCGCACCATCACCTTGACTCAGTCACACATGGTGCAGCAGGTCCTTCAGCGCTTCCGCTTCACGTACTCCTCGCCTCAGCCCACTCCTCTGCCTACCGGTCACTCGCTCTCAGCTCTGCCTTCGGATGAGTCCGTAGAGCCGAGTGGCCCGTATCCAGAGCTTGTGGGCTGCCTCATGTACCTGATGACCTGCACTCGACCTGACCTTGCATACCCTCTTAGCATCCTTGCACGCTATGTCGCTCCTGGCCGTCACCGGAAGGAGCACATGGATGCCGCTAAGAGGGTGTTGCGCTACTTGTGCAGTACGTCGGGCATGGGGCTAGTGCTTGGAGGACGAGACCGAGTTGTACTCACTGGGCACTCAGACGCGTCTTGGGCTGACGACCAGGCTACTCAGCGGTCGTCTCAGGGTTACACCTTCAGCCTTGGCTCTGGTTCAGTTTCTTGGCGTTCTACACGCTCGTCTTCTGTTCTCAGCTCCAGTTGTGAGGCTGAGATCTACGCCACAGCCATGGCTGCACAGGAGTTACGCTGGCTCACCTACCTGCTGACCGACTTGGGAGAGCGGCCTCGTTCTCCTCCAGTGCTGTACGTCGACAACAAGGCTGCCATTGCCTTGTGTGAGGAGCACAGACTGGAGCACAGAACGAAGCATATCGCTCTGCGCTACTTCCTTGCTCGAGAGCTGCAGCAGCGCGGTCAGCTTCGTCTGCGTTACGTGGCCACTCGGGCCAACACTGCTGATGTGTTCACCAAGGCGCTTCAGCCTTGTGACCATCAGCGCTTCTGTACTGTTCTAGGCCTCGTGCCTACTGGGCCTCACTTGCTTACTTCTTGACTCTGCTTGTACTGTGATCTCTATATATATACCTGCTTGTTTACTCTTGCTAGGTTGTGATCACTGTATCTCTTGTTATACTATCAACCTGCATGTGAACTGGTCTTGTGACCACTTGCTTGTGCTCAGAATTTGTGTGGTTTCCTTGAGATCCACCCTGAGCTTGCTTTGCTTTGCTTTGATTGGTCTTGTGACCATCTGGTTGTCTCCCACTTAGCCTATGGGGGTGTGTCAAACATTATATGTTCATATTGTGTAGGCTATAGTGGGTTTAGCCTTAGGGGGTACAGCTTTGTTAGGGTTTCCTACTTGTATCCCCCTCCTACCTAGTTTCATTCATTCTCGTTCTATTCTAGATTCTAACAAATTCAAGGGTAGTACAATGTAATAGCGGAAGCGTTTAATAAATGGCTTGTGAACCACCTTGCGCTGGTATGTGAGGGCAAAGTTGATTGATTAAAACAAAGAGATACAAGCTTTTATAAGGATACAAGGAATATGAAGAGATACGGTTAATAACCGTTTTACTGTTGCTGTTGCGGTTCGATACAGTGTCGACTCGGGCAACTGCTCAGTAGCGAGTCAGTTGTTTGTCCTTGCTGTCGCGCTGTATTTGTCAGGTCAAAGGTCACTGACCTTTGACTTGCGCGTAACCTCCAGCAGTTGTTCAACCTCCGAGGGTTGACTCGCTGATGCTTCGATATGTTTCGCTTCGCTTCTGACTTGGTGTTTCGACATGACAGAGGCGCTTAAATCAATTGTTTCCAACAGTTGTCACTGTTGTTTGATTGCGCAGGAGCTGCTTGCTGATGTTGCTCGTAGAAGGACATGAAGGAGAAGAACTTCTCCATCATGTTTGGGTCAAAGCTTGCTGCTTGATTCCCGGGAGTTTCGGTCGTCTCCGCAACTGGTCTTGTTGCTGTGCCTTCCTCTGTCTGTAGACCAGAGGCTAGAGGTGGAGTAGGTGTAGTGCCGAGAGATCCGTTGGAGGAGCTCCTCTCCTTCTGTGTTGCCATGTCTTGTGTTGTAGAAATTTTGGAAATCGATCTTGCCTTGTTTGCTCTCATACCATGTTGGGCTGAGAAATAGCCCTTAGGATCTTTCAAGGCTAAGATCTAGTTGAAGTAGGAATGTTGTAGTTTGCGGAAGCGTTAATATCAGAGTTGCTGAACCACCTTGTACTGGTGTGTGAAAACAAGATAAGTTGATAATAGCAGAGAGACACAGGCCTTTTACCGTATCACCCCGGATAGTAGCGCATATGCGCTTTTAATAAAATTGATTTTTTCAAGGGGGGCGCTTATAATTGAGTTTCGGGCATAAGCGCATGCGCTTATATAATGACAAATACAAATTTATAATTTTAGGGTACCAAACTGTACCTTTCATTGATGCCATTTCAAACGAGTCGAAATAATATAGCGTCACAAAGCAGAATCGCGTGCAAGCGATTCTGCTTCCTGCACACCAGTAAGTTCACCTCACTTTGCAGGCATGCCAGCACATCCTGATTGGACGCGCAGCCAGTCAGGTCTTCGCGAGTCAAACGAAGCGAAGATGAAATTTGGCTCGCTGCGAAAATGAAACTCGTTACCGTTTTAAACAGATTTATAATTTCAAAATGTACGTGCGCTTATAATAAGTAAAGGTTTTCCAGGGGGGGCGCTTATAATTGAGTTTCGGCCATAAGCGCCATGCTCCAGATAGAAGCGCCGGCGCCATTAATCGGACGGCGCCTATATCTGGGGCCATACGGTATATGATTACAAGGGAATATGAAAAGTTATACTTTTAACTGTTTTTGCTGTTGCGGTTCGATACAGTGTCGACTCGGATAACTGCTCAGTATCGAGTCAGTTATGTGTCCTTGCTGTCGCACTGTACTTTTCGTCGATCAAAAGTCAGCGACCTTTGACCTTCGTGTAACCTCCAGCGGTTGCTTTTGTTGACTCGTGTGTTGCTTCGCTGTGGTATGCTCTGTTTCGTGTCATGCTTCGATACTTCAGAAGTGTTTAAGTTATTTGTTTCCAACAGTGTAAACCGTCAATTGGCAATCCATTACCCTGCAAGAACCAACTTGAACGTTGGAATATTTATATCTATAGCTTTTGGACAACATCCATCCCATATTAGTTCCAGGGTTGATTACAACTCTCCACGTTTGGAGCCAAACCATTCCTAGCACCTCTCCAGCATTTTTCAAGTGCCTTGACTTACTTGAGTGAAACTTCCTCCACCATCCTGCCTTCAGTTCAGTTGTATTGTATACGAATCAGAGGTATCAGTGCACATTTGTCTGTCTTGAGACTTCGGGTATAGAGTTTTGGGTTAGGTTTTCAGCACTTCAGCCCACAATCAGCACTCCGCGATTGGCTGGCATGGAGAGTGGGGGTGTCTGGAGGAATGCCGAGGACTAGGAGGAGCTGAGATTTGCCTTGCCGATAGCCACACCATCCTCACAGTCACCATCATCACTTGGACTTGGAGACTTTCAGTGAAGCACCCTTTTTCCCCTGCTGCTTGCGCCTGCTGCTGTCATCAGGACTCAGTCTCACAACCTTGGCTTGCTCCTCCTCCTCATCGTCGTCACTCAGCGATCGCTGCAGCTTGCTTTTGGGCTTCTCACTGCCCCTGGAGCTTCCCTTGCTTTCACTCGCCCTCAACCCCCCTGCGTCAGCATCTTCACTGGATCCCTGCCCATCAGGTCTCCCCAGTGGCTGGGTCTGTTGCTTGCTGTCGTCACCGACGGCAGCGCAATGCTGAAACGAGTCTGTTTTTCGGGTCTGCTTCCGACGCGGCCCATCTCCAAGGACCGGGACAAAGGCAGCATGCTGCACTTGTGTCCCTACGAGGCCATGCCTCTCATTCCCTCCACACTCCATATCAGCAGCCTCCACACCCCTCTGCCACCCTCCCATTGCCTCCATGCCCCCCAATTCACCCTCCTCTTTCCATGATGTCGCCTGCACTTCCCCCCCACCCTTCCCCTCCACCCACCGCATATTCTCTCCCGCCCCAGCCATCTCCCCCTCTCTCTGCACACCCAAACCCCCACCGCCATGCGAAACCGCACGTGCGTGTCGCACGGTCCGCTCGTCACATGCCGCGCGCCGGGGGAGGCGGCAGTCCGGGAGCAGCGTGGAGGGCACAGGGCGGCGACCAACAGAGTGAGCGTGGCATTGGCGCGCAGTGGGATCCTCTGCCATGGTATGCCCCGCCACGAGATGCTGCGGTATAGGATGCTGCGGTATAGGATGCTGCGGAACAAGGTGCTCCTCTATGGCATGCCGTGCCAAGGGATGCTCCACTAGAGACGGCTGCATGAGGTGGAGTGAGTGCGAGCGGCACCGAGTCACGAGCCCCGTGCAGGGCGATGCAGCATGCGCAGCTGCTGCCGCCTGTGCCACGCCACCACCAGCGCCACCAGCAACACCGCCACGCCAGTCCCTCTCCTCCCAGTCAGCCCCTTCAGCCCACGGCTGCTCCGACTGCTCCGCCGCGTGGTGCCGGCCAGAGAATCCCCTCCAGGGCCGGTGCTCACGGCAGGAGGGGGGACCCGGGGGAGGTGTTATCTGCGGGGCGGGCTCGTCGTCGAGCAGCGCACTGTCCCACGTGTGGAAGCGACTCAGCTGCCGGCTGTTGCTGCCTCCGCCGTTGCTGCCCCTCCTCTGCCCCCTTCTTTCAGTACCAGGCTCCTGCCTCCGCCGTTCCATATGCCCAGCCGGACTGCCCGTGGCGATGGTTGATTGCTGGTGAATTGCAGGGGAGCTGCCGCCCAGAGAGGCTGATGGTAGCACCTGCTGACGTGGCGATTGCAGATAGGCTGTGGGAGCTGCCATGGGGATGAGACGAGGCGACGGGATGGCGCAGGGGAAGCGGGGGGAGGTGGCGGAAGGGGATGCGGGGTCCAGGGGCGAGGCGGAGGAGGCGGAAGGAGCTTGCGCCACGGCGGAGCATTGTCCCCGTTGCGCCCTTCCAACGGTCGTCCCGCCAACGGGGAACTGATCCTGGTGGCTGGCGCCGGGCGCAGCGGGGCTGCGCCTATCGCGACGTTGGCGGGTGTGACTAGCAGGCGACGTGTGGTGGTTCTTCGCTGATAGAGGCGGCTCGGCCACGTCGTCATCATCGCCTGCATCGCAATCGATCACCAGGGCTGCTGGCCGCGGAATCTGACGGCTCAGCGTCGTCGTCGGCCCTCTCGCCCTGTTGCTTGGACGCTGCGGCTGCGCTTGGAGCAAGGGCCGCGTGTCGACAGCAGCGGCGATTGCGGAGGGCATGACACGTGTCAGCGTCGTCGATTTTGCAAAGTTGGATTCTCTAGCCGCCAGATCTGGGTCCGAACCGCTCTTCAGTATGCCGCGAGTCGCGGCGCCTCTGCCGGACGAGCGCGGCGATGGGTGATGGGGAGCGCAAGAGGCGGGGTCGGTGCGCTGTCCGCCAGGGCCTGCCGCTGCGCGGGGAAGCAGCAGTCGCGGCGCTTCTCGCGGCGACAGATGATGCGACGAGCGAGCGACGTCGGTCCGCGCCCTCGGGATCGCCAGGCGATCGAGCGACTCGCCATGCCAAGTGTCGTTGTGGCGCAGTTGACGGGATTGGGGGACTTCAAGTCTCGTCGCCGCGGCGCCGCCCATCTCGGAGCTGAATCTCAGGCCGCGCCGCGAGCGCGGCGTTGCTCGCGCGTCGGAGGATGAAGAAGCATCCGTTTTACGAGCACTAGCCGCGACGGGTCCCCGAGGGTTATTCTCACGGGTTGCCTCCGCCGTGCGCCTCGTCGCGATGCTGCTGCTGTTCAGGCGGACACTCGACGGCGGTTCGAGCGCCGAGGTACTCGCCGAATGCCGAATCGCGCTGACCTGGCCAGCGACGAGAAACAACGAAGACTCGTCGGAGCCGTTAGGTGACCCTGTCGAAGCGCTACCGCATGAACGGGAAGCCGCCAAACGCGGCGAGGCCGAGGAGGACTTGGAGCTACTTTTTATAGATGAGGCAGATGGAGTTCGAGAAGCACGCAAATTAGGCGTCGTTACGTCGCATTCATACCCCTCGGAGAGTTGCAAAGACAGTCGTGGCGGCTCTCGCCGGTGGCTCGGGAGTTGCTGACGTGGCGAAGCCTGCGCGCCAACCGGGACCGACCTAGTTGGCCTGGTAGTAACTCGAATATTAGGATCCAAATCGACCGCGTTACACGGCTTATCGTTGTCGAGCAGCTGCATCACTCGGATCGCCTTCTCCGCGAATCGTTTTCTCGGCCCGACTTGCTCGCTAAGCATTACCAATGGCGCAGCCATGGCGACAGGCAGGTTTCTTGCAGCAAAAACAAGGAAAGAGTTCGGGATAGCAGCTCCGCAAGAACTGTGAACCAGGAAAGCTAAAACGCGATGCAGCAGCTGCAAAGAAGGCTCAGCTGTTGGGAAAGAAATCAAACAAATGAGGCAGCCATGCTAGCCATCACAGCATGGTAAAGCAAACATGCTGCTTGGTTGGAATGGCTTCGAAGTGAGCATCACTGCCTCTCACGTTACCTATATTGGGGTTGAGAATGGCGGTGATGGGTGCGGCTGGGGAATACGGCGGAGGAGGAAGTGGTGGCATGTGAGGTGAGCGAGTGACTGAGGGGACAAACAAATCTTCTTTGTTCAGATTCGGGGAGGATGGCGATTCTCGCGTGCGTGGGAGGAGGATGTGGGGCGGTCGAGGCGAAGCGAAGGCGATTTTAACGACGTGTTACTACGGTTGAGGTAACGGTGCGATGGAAACTAGTCAGCAAAACTGTCGTCTCTAACAGCTCGCGAAAGCGCTAGAGACAAATCCAATCGCCTTGACTACACTCGCGACAAAGATTACTTGAAAGGCGACGAACTTCTCCATGGTCAACAATCTCGGGCAGTTGCATTCCAGATGTTAGCTCCCGTTACACCGCATTTCCACATTTGCCTAATATGACGAGATAAGCCGAGGAAACCTATGGTACACGCATAATAAGGAATATTTATATGACACGTAGCTACCTATCATTTTGATTCAATGAGCTCTACCATATACAGCCTCAGGCATTGTCTCTTACCATATACACTGATAGCAATATCCGCACAGGTATTTCCTACTTCAAGCTGTTCTCCACATCAATGACAAAGCGATACTTCACATCACCCTGCAAAAACACATCCAGCCCATCAGAAGAGTGTTGCACGCAAACAGACAACATACTTCCCAACCTAACTAATACCTTAAGTAAACGGTCATATGCCCTGTTGATATCTCCGATGGCAATTTTCTCCACCTGGGGAGCCACACCATTCTTTGCACAGAACTCCAGCATTTCTTGAGTCTCCTTGATTCCTCCAATCAAACTTCCTGCTACCATCTTACGCCCTGTGATAACATTGCCACAACACCAGTAAGAAACAGCGAGCTCAGGGTTTCGGGTTTTAGGGATACGAAAAGATGTTGAGCACTACACTCAACAATGCGCCAGGAGAGCCACAACTCAAGGAGCATGGAACCTCCTGCTGGTTTGAAGGGGCACGAAAGCCATATAAATATGGTAACTCACCGAACACAAGCTGACTGGCATGGAGAGTGAAGGGTGCTGGGGGGATGCCGAGAAGGAGGAGCTTTCCATTGAATGTGAGGAGGTCGAGGTAGGGCCCCAGCTCATGCTGCGCTGAGACCGTGTCTATGACCACATCCAGTGAGCCCGCTGCTGCCTACCACACCCAACAGCAAGAGCAGCGGAATCCCATGTTGATAAAGTGAATAAAACACCGAAAACTGTGGTTCGGCATGTCAAGGGGTACCAACCCAAAAGCACCGCAGCATGACAGGTGATAAGCCAGCCCACCTTCATGGCGTCAGCATCCTTGGTGACAATGAACCTGTGCGCGCCCATCACCTCCCTCGCCTCCCTCTCCTTGCCCTGGGACGTGCTCAGCACAGTGACGTGCATGCCAAACGCCCGCCCCATCTGCACTGCCACGTGGCCCAGCCCGCCCAGCCCCGCCACCCCCAGGCGCATGCCCGGCTTGTTGGCGCCGTAATGCATCATGGGCGAGTAGACTGTGATGCCAGCGCATAGCAGAGGCGCTGCCACGTCAGATGCCAGCTCAGCAGGGATGGAGAGGACGCAGCTGGGAGGGCAGGGCGCAGAACGTGGGGGCTTAGACAAGAATACATTGAGAAGACGAGGGGCTTTGCAAGAGCATGCGGGGTGATGACCAGAGAAGAAAGGAAAAAGGATGATGATGCGGTGCATGACGAGGTGTGACAGAGGACTCGGTTCAAGGTTCAAAACGTACTCTTCATTGCAAACGATGAAGGAGGAGTAGCCGCCGTAAGTGGACTGGCCGGACGGCGAGAGCGGGTCTACAGAGTTGTAAGTGAAAACGCACTTGGGGCAGGACTGCTCCTCCTGCTGCCTGCACGCCACGCACTCACCGCACGACCCCACCATGCACCCCACACCCACTCGCTGCCCCGCTGCCACCTTGCTCACCTCCGCTCCGACCTCCTCCACCACTCCTATGATTTCGTGCCTGCAACGGAAAGGCACATGGAAAGGAGAAGGCACAGGATGTTCCCTCAAGCGGTGAGTAGTGTGTGGATGCAAAGTGGGTGAGATGACTCCCAGGACGAACGGTGTGGGGGAGGAAAGGCATGAGGGAGCAGGATGGAGACGCGAGGTGAGAGCTGGAGGAATGGAGTAGCAGGAGAGCACGAGGGAGTACGGAGGAGGAGCTTTACCCGGGAACGATGGGGTACATGGAGTTGCCCCACTCGTTCCTCGCCAGGTGCACGTCGCTGTGGCACACGCCGCAGTGAGTGATGCGGATCTTCACGTCGCCGGGCCCCACCTCCCGCCGATGGAACCTCCACGGTGACAGCACCCCGCTCGCGTCGCGCGCGGCGTACCCAACGCAGTTCCCCTCGCCTTCTGCAGGAGCCATTGATGGGCCGATTTAGTCCCTTGACTGTAGCTTTTGCTAGGGAGGAGCTGGGAGAGGAGGAATTCGAGTGGCTTTACTAGGGACGGCGGGAGGACAAGGCGTGGAAAAAGGGACGACGGTGCAGCAGGCTACTCCACGGCGATTTGAAGGACCCGAAAAAGGAGTTAACAGCCTTGCTTGAATCGGCCACGTGGCGAAGCGAAAAGGTATGGGACGGGAATGAGAATTATCTCGCGTAATCAGACAAGCTTCAGGGATAGCTAGCCTCGTCAACGAGGTATGGTCGCGATGCCGTTGGGTCAAACATTGTGACTCGACATTTCGCAGCGCCGTCGACATGGTTTGGGAGGAGCAAGGGAGCGCGCGAGATGCGCGGCGAGCGATGCTAGTGCTTTCGGGAACCCCGACAAGCGAAAGGAGGAAGCTCGTGAATCCCGAGAAAGCATGGTGAGTGAGTGATCTCCAGGGTCGCAGGATGTGTTCAGTGTGAAGGGGCGAACAGCACTTCGCTTTTGCAGTACGAATGCGGTTCAGCTGGGTTTCTTACGGTATGCTTTCGTTGAATGCCAGGAACCAGTTTCATTATACGGTAGTTTCAGCATTCCCTTGCATATGAACTTGGAATGGCCCAAATCATGGTTAACAAGTATGCACTGCAACTGCAACAGACACTACGCAAGGGAGACTTCATCCAAACTAGAACCACACTAATTTGTGGCAATCAGATCCTCGAGGCTGTTTTCCATATCAATCACGAAACGGTACCTCACGGCACCCTGCAAATCCAATCAAGCACAACAAACGAGAACGGTATATAAGTACCATAGCATTGGAAAGAGACGAGACACATGATGTGTTCGTGCGTTTCTAAATTTACCATGCTCTTACCTTCAGCAAACGTTCGTGTGCCTTGTTGATGTCCTTGATATCAAGCCTCTCCACTATGGGCGCCACACCATTCTTTGCACAGAACTCCAACATCTCTTGAGTCTCCCTGATTCCTCCTATCAACCCACCCGCAACCATCTTACGCCCTGTCAAGCCACCAGAAAGACAAGCAGCACAGAGCACCGAAATGGAAGACAGGCAACGATGATGAGCCAGCCAAATCAGTTCCGTGAAAGCGTGCAACAGAATGCAAGAAACAAGAGCCAGGGACCACGGACTAAACACAGCCTAGAGCTGATGCTGCTGCTTGAAGCAACACAAACGTCACTCAGATAAATTAGGGTTGTCAAGCAGCAGTGTGATTACCAAACACAAGCTGGCTGGCGTGGAGAGTGAAGGGGGCTACAGGAATGCCTAGCACGAGCAGCTTTCCGTTGAATGTGAGGAGGTCGAGGAAGGGCCCCAGGTCATGCTGCACCGGCACCGTGTCGATGACCACATCCAGTGAGCCCGCTACTGACTGCACGGACAAACACAGCAGCAGCCAAGAAGTTTGAGGGTGGATTCTTGGGAGATGCGTACCAAGATACTGGAATGGAAGGTTTGAGACCCCTTTTGTTTGATGCCAAGCACGCACGTAGAAATCACCACATCCCAGCACAAGCTCACCTGCATGGCGGCTGCATCAGTGGTGAGAATGAACCTGTCAGCCCCAAACAGCTCACTGGCGTCCCTCTCTTGGTGCGCCTGTATGCTCAGCACAGTGACGTGCATGCCAAACGCCCGCCCCATCTGCACTGCCACGTGGCCCAGCCCGCCCAGCCCTGCCAACCCCAGGCGCATGCCCTGCTTGTTGGCGCCGTAGTGCATCATGGGCGAGTAGACCGTGGTGCCAGCGCACAGCAGGGGGGCTGCCACGTCAGACGCCAGCTCAGCAGGGATGGAGAGAACGAAGCTGGCGGGGGGGTTGGGGGAAAAGCGGAAAAAATATGCAAAAATAATTTTGTGAGAAATTGCCGAGGACAACTGAAAGGCAGGTCGAGAAGGAGAGGAGAGGGAGGGAGGGAGTGGGTCTATTCCGAAAACAACATGACTAACGGCCTTGTTAAACAAACACGAATATGCAACATGGCTAAGCAGCATGGTTACACAACAGGGCAGAGCGACGTACTGTTCGTCACACACGATGAAGGAGGAGTAGCCGCCGTAAGTGGCCTCGCCGGACGGCGAGTGAGGGTCCACCGAGTTGGAGGTGAAGAGGCACTTGGAGCAGAACTGCTCCTCGTGCTGCCTGCACGCCTCGCACTCACCGCACGACCCCATGATGCCCATCACTCCCACCCGCTGCTCCACTGCTACCTTGCTCACTTGCGCTCCCACCTCCTCCACCACCCCCACGATCTCGTGCCTGTAACGAGAACAAGCCATTTGAAGGAATGAAAAGAAACGTTGAGTGAACTTCAAGTTTCAGACAGACAGAAGGCGGGATGAGAGTCATGCTGCAAGTGAGATGGAAGATTTCGGACGAAAGATGCGATCGCGTGGAAGGCAGTAAGAGAAGAGAAGAATGGCGACGGGGAGAGGGACGAGGTTGGTTGGAAACAGATGGCAGGATGGACGCAGCGACTTGGAACGGAGCGGGAAGAGCAGCTTACCCGGGGACCATGGGGTACAGGGAGTAGCCCCAGTCATTGCGGGTGAAATGCACGTCGCTGTGGCATACGCCGCAGTGAGTGATGCGGATCTTCACGTCCCTCCGCCCCACCTCCCTGCGATTGAATCTCCACGGCGCCAGCACCCCGCTCGCGTCGTGCGCGGCGTAGCCCACGCAATTACCCTCTCCCTCTTCGGGAGCCATGGACTGGTTGCTTGACAGGTTATGAGAAAAAGCGCGAGAGACTGACGTCAAACGCTTGGGAGGACGGCGAGGAAAGAGCGCGCCGGCATGAGACGTACAGTGGCCATAACGCGGCGGTACAGCGGACTCGGAGAGGGCGCGCGCGGGGTGCGCAGGCGCGGTGAGCGTGAGAACGAGGAGGTGATTGTCACGCAACTGAGCGTCGGAATGAGTACCGTCGGACTGATCGAATTTGCGACACATGCGAAGCCTGAGCTAGGTTTGAGATCCCTGTGGGCCACATCTCGCAGATCGGGAGGGCCGAGGGAGAGCAGAGAATGAAGTGCATGGTGTGGTCAAGCGAATGAGAAGCTTGCCTATTTATACCGTGGATGTCCCCTGGAAAACTCGGGGAAAATTGCAGTTCCCGAGAAAGAACCTTGACACTGAATGGGACTTGGATTTTGACAGAGTACGGTATCACAAAATACGCACTATGCGCGTCATAGCGAACTCATTTTACACAGAATGAAGCGCATGAACTTATTTCCTACCACTACTGTGCTTATCTGCTACAAATCGTGCTGAGCAATAAACGCTAGAGCGAGGATAATTATCGCTATATGCCAAAGAGATCCGAAAACGAGATTTCTCATTGCTGCCTTGGGCTCTGCAGAGGGAGCAGGCGGAGCTGGTGGCACACTGATGTCTCTGGGAATGGTGGTGCAATCAACGCTCGTGTTCAAGGCAGTCAAGGGGGGGGCTCCCACATAGTCACCGGGGACAAATCTGTAGGGACAGAAGGGTGAAGAAGAGAGAATGGTGAACACACAAATGGGTGCAATGGTGGAACCAAGATAAACAAATGGTCACGAGTAAAAGGAGGTGTATGCAGGGAAAGCGGGTGTGATGGCGGCACTCACATCAAGTGTTGCACGTCGCTGATGTTGGCATAGGGAGTCTTCTGGCCCGTGGCCTCCTCCAAGCACACTATGCTGCGATCATATGCCGCCACCTGGCACACGTAGCCCCCACCTGCTGCCACCGGCCGCGAGAGCACAAGGCCACCTCTTGGAGGTGACTGGGGGAGGATAATGAGGAGAAAGGGAGAAACAGGGGGGAATGAATTGGAATGCTCATCAACAACAGCCACTTGCATGCTCACAATATATATGTGTATGAAGTGTAGCTAGCTAGCAACTCACGTTTTCGCCCATCTGCTGCTCGAACTGCACAAAGGACTGCATGTTGCCTGCCGAGCACCCGCTGCCGCACTGCATCAGCTGCTGCATGTCCAGCCGCCCTATCACGCCGCCCTCCGCCACGCTTATGTACACCAGGTAGTGCGGCGGCTGTGAATGGGAATGGGTGATGAAAAAAGGGTGGGGAATGGGGGAGTTGGGGAGTGGAGGAGGGAGGAAGAGGAGGGGAGGGCAGAGAGCACTCTGCATGAGCTGCTGCGTGTCCAGCCACGCTATCACTCCGCCCTCCGCCACGCGAGATAGTGCGGAGGAGAGAAGAGCACGTCAATGTGCACCAGGTAGGAAGGGAAAGGGAAAGGGAAAGGGAAAGGGAAAGGGGAAGGGGAAGGGGAAGGGGAAGGGAAGGGGAAGGGGAAGGGACAAATGCGAGCCCCCCACGTGGGTCTCACCTTGGGAGTGAAGACCATCCTGAGCGGCGTGTAGTCCACGTTGAACGTCAGCGGCTGCCACGCTGTCACGTTGGGGCGCGGCCGCGGCGTGGGCTGCGGCTGCCCGTTGGGCTGCGAGGGCGGCGGCTGGACGGCACTCAGCTGCAGCAGGTGGATGGCCTTGTTTGTCGCATCCAGCACGAAGAGGAAGCTCTCGTCCGGCGCCATGTACAGCTCGCCCTGCGCGCGCGCGGCGGGGGTGGGGGAGCGGAAGTGGGGGAGCAGGTGGGAGGGAAGGTAGGAGATGTAGGGGGCGGGGATTTGGAGAGAGGAGAGGACGAGCACTGGATCCGGAACGGGCTACTCCATTCGACCGTATCCCCCCATTGCTCAAGGTTCACTTCCTCTGCTTCTCGCCACAACCTTCCCGTTCTCCCACGCTTCTCCCATCACTCCATCCACTCTCAATCGACCAATATCGCGCGTTATACTGTATAACTCCACTTGTACAACAGACCCCCGCGCGTTCTTCTCTCCCCAGTGCGCTTACAGCGAACGGCCAGACGCCCACGATCAGGTTGGTATGCGCGTCGATCTGCACCGTCGCCAGTTTCCCCGCTCCCGCCAATCCTTCCCCCGCGCTCGCCTTCCGTGCGCCCGCGCCGGCCTCGCTCACGCCGATCCCGATTCCGCCGTCAGCAGGGGAAACGGGGGAGGCGGAGGGCGGAAGTGCGCAGGAGACGAATGTGTGGCGCAGCACGCGTGCATACGCGCTGGAAAGCGCGCCGGGGCAGGCGCGCTGTGAGACGGCGGCAGCTTCCTGGAAGGAGAGGAAGAGCGCGGGCGCGATAGAGGGGCGCGCGAGGTCGACTGTGTACACCCCCGATGATCCCGAGGTCGTCAGATAGCCGCGCGTGCCCAGGTCTGCGCTTACGCCGGGAGGCAAGGGGGAAGGGGAAAGGGGGAAATGAGAAAGGAGGGAAGGGGAGGGGGGTTGTCGGGCAAGATGCGCGAGATTACCCACGTGTGCGGGCAGGTGTGCACGAAGGTATACGGGGAAAGGGGTGCTGGGGGAAGTGACTCACTGGGGCTCTGCAGCAGGCGCGCGCGTCCCACGGGGAGCATGGTGTTGACACCCTGGCTGTGCACCTCCGCGTACGGCGGCTGCGCCGACAGAATGGAGAACGAGTAGCGGTCCGCCACGTCGGCCGCGTGCACCCACACCTCGTTCTGGGGAGCGGGGAAGTAGGGGGGTGCAAGGGGAATGATATGACGGGGAAATGGTCGCAAGGGGCACGGGGAACGGAGCGACGGGGCGATGGGTGAGGGACGGTGAGAGACTCGCAATGCTTGCGGACGGCGGAGCGCCCCAGAGCGCGCGGAGTGGCGGCTATACTTACAGCGAGGGGGACGAAGTACACGCTATCCGGCGTGTTGTTCAGCGGCACTCGCGCCGTGACGTCCGCTGCGACCGTGTCGAACACGTGCAGCGCGTCCGTGAGTTCCGGCAGGCGAAGCGCGCCTCTCGTGCTGTAGCTCGCCGCGGCCAGCAGCGTGCGCTGCGCTGGGCCGAACGCCACGCTGCGCCACTCGCCCCTGATAGCGGCACGGAAAGGAAAGGAAACGAGGGGGAAGGAGGGGGAATGAAGGGGAAGGAGAAGGGATGAAGGGGAAGGAGGGGGAAGGAAGGGGAAGAAGCGGAGTCACGTTCAGGGATTCAAGAAATGATTGTGCACGGCGGAGATGTGCGCGGATGCGGGGGACGGCGGAGATTGGAGCTCCGGTGGGATTTGCTGGCATAGAAGATCAGAACCGTGCATCTAGGTATGCATCGCACCTGAGGATTTGCGCCGTACCTGAGAGGTGTGCCGTACCTGAGAGTTTGTGCCATACCTGAAGGGGTGCGCGGGGCACTTGTTGGGGAAGGGGATGTGCCCCGATGGCCCCTTGAACGCGCGCAGCGACGCCAGCGGACTGCCTTTCGTTGGATCAATCAGCACCACCTGGCGTCACGTGATCGGGCAGCCAGGGAGGGCAGGTAGGCAGGAATGGGGAAGGAAGACGTGAACGGAGAAGCGACGATACGTGGTTGCCGTCACGCCGTTGAGTGCTCATACCCTGAGGTGCCTAAATAATCCACAACCAGCGCTGAACTCCCGACCCACCGCTCGCTCGCACCGCTCACTCCCTCTCGACCTCTCGAGTTTTCCCGCTCTCCAGCCTTTGTTCGGACTTATCGCGACGACAACGGTCAAGCTTGCAGCCTGTAAGTGTGGCGCCACTGAAGTTTTTATTCGAGTTATTCAAGTAAGAAAACAATACGTCTTTATGCTGTCAACGTCGTGTCGCGTCGCAGTAGTTTTCTAGAAGGTGATAACTATCACGCGATTGTTGATCGCGCGCCGTGGCTCTAAGAACTTGTACGCATGCCAGGCATCCCATTACGTGAGGTGACACTTGCCTGGCCGTCCGCGAATGCGTAGAAGATTCCGCGACTCATGCTCGCCACCACGTCTGCGTGAACCAGACGGCAGAGGCACACCAATCCGAACAGCAACGACGCGGTGCGCATGACCTCTCGAGACGCCATCCTCATGGGTATTTGCAGTCAGACTGAATTGAGAACAAGTAGAAGGGTTACACAAATTCAGGACGTATACCTCACATGGGTGTCCGAAAATACATCCTCGTGAGGACTGTCAGGTGAATGTTTCGAACTAGTGTCGAAGGAATGAAGAAATGAGGTGCTTGCTCAACGATGGGGCTCAATGAGGTGCAAAGGCGGGCTGGGGCGGAACATGCATGGGATGTGGCTTGGAAGGAGTTGCACGCAATGCAAAAACATTCTGTGCCACTCTGCTGCTCCATATCTGCGCGCTGCAGTGAGAGGTGTTTTCGGCCGACCATCCGCGCGCTACTGGTGTCGGAAATCCGTCTGTGCGCCTTTCAGGCGCAGGGTGTGGAGGGGATTGCGCGCTGCGGTGCCCCATGAGGGCTGGCATTGGCATGTCAATGGCGGAGCTGGCACCAAATTTGCGCGTCGTGGGACTCTCTTGCTGATGATTTGGCTGCCCTGGGTCAGCTGACATGGCAATGGAGGTGGTTCCTCTACGTAAAAGCGGCTCGCCACATCATCCTTATGCTCCAGTAACGAGCCTGCTTGACCAGTGACTGGAGTCCTTTCGCTACAAAAACTCACGTATCGTACCGCGCCGCTCATCCAGGAATTCGACATTCGCGTCGCGGTACTCCTTCCACCGACGGGGTCTGTTTGTGGAGGGACCTGCGCCGCACGCAATTCCCATCCATCCCCACCCCAACCACAAGCCGAGTGTGAGAATGCCACCAGCTCTGGTGTTTCGAGCAAGCAGTTCGTGCTTTGCTCCACGACGAGAGTCACTCACTACTCATCTTCCAAACCAAAACCATGCTGCGAGCTGCCCGCCTAAGGCCCCACTGAATCTGTGAGAAACAGTGTGGACGTCTCACCTCGTTTACCGTCCTAGATTTCGTTTCTGTTCGAAGGCTTCTTGTAGGTATCATTTAATTAAAGGAGGCCAGATAGGTTGAACTGGTATAGCCTCCCTACAGTGACTTACCTTCGACCTTAGCTTGTCGCTCAAAGCTCCTGGAATAACATGGCTCCGCGGGTGCCGTGGCAACTATGCCTATCTGCTGTAGTCGTGCTTGCGTCGCTCTGCTCGCTATGTCGTGCTGACGTCACTCTTCCCGATCCACAGCGACCCGGCCTCTTCTATTTCTTCATGTCCGGGCAGGTTAGTACGCACGGGTGCGCTGGATTGTTTTGAGCTAACCGCTGTCGCATAGCACAGATTCGCGCCGAATAAGACTCATTATATCCGTTGCCGCACTTCCCCTTAGCAACGGACGCAAAGCCCCACACACCGTGCAGCCGATGGCTAACTTTGTTCGCCGTAGTCACACTCTATCCGCTTGTGCCGGCCACTCTTCACCATACTCACTCCGTGCCCACCGTCCGCCTCGTGCTTCCCTCGTGTGCGACAGATCGTGGTGGTGGACCCAGTGTCGCAGAAGGTGGTAACAAAGATCAACCAGACGTCGCAAGGCGCCCCCGCGCCCTTCCCTAACTCCTGCCCGGGCCACCCCATGCAGTAAGTGCCGTCCCTCCTCGCTCGTTTAGTAACCACCGACTCGAGATGCGAGACGTGAGGGGAGCGTTGTATAGCTCAAAATGTTTTTAGAACCTCATTAAGTGCGCGCCTCGCCATACGACAAGAGCGCGTCGCCAACCCTCGATCTAGCCTCAGAATGCCATTTCGATATCGAGCAACCACTCTTTCATAATCCCCCACATTCCCATCCCCTCCCTCCCCCCACCCCTCTTCCTCTCTTCCATCTGCGCCCCGCCCCTTCTCTTTACCCCCCCTTCCCCTTCCCCACTCCGCCCCGCTCCGCCTCCGCAGAGGCACGTGGAACAGGCACACGACGGGCATCGATCAGCAGACCATCTTCATCACAGCCAGCTTCCAACAGCCCACGCCGCTGCGACTGCCGGGGCTGTCGGACATGGTGCTCGTCGTCAACACCTCGTCGCAGAGCGTCGCAGCGTCTGTCGCCGTGCCCGACATCCCCAACGACATCGTCTTCGTGCCTGAAGTGGTGAGTGCTGACGTGGCGCGAGTTGTGGTGGGGATCGGATTGTCATGATCGAAGGTCAACAGCAATAATCACGATGGTCGGTTCTCCAGAAATTCAGCGAGTCTGTCACCGTATTTTTAGTGATAACTAGTTTTTGAGTCGACTCTAAAATCGACTTATCACACGCGGCTCTCCAGAAATTCAGTGAGTCTGTCACCGTATTTTAAGTGGTAACACATAACATGAGTAAGCTGGAGAGTGAATGACAAGAGTGCCATCAAGTTGTTACTCCCAAGCCGCCAGCATTCTTCAAATCATGAACAAGGCATTTCAAACGCTGCCCTTTGATTAAGGCAAGTGATGCCCCCCTCAATACGATCACATTCGCAGGGAAGCGTGTTCGCCCACGCAGACGTCAACGGCACCTTCGCCGTCATTTCCGCAGCGCCGCCGTACACCTTGCAGCGCGCGCGCTTCTCCTCCGAGTTCGCCGAGGCGGGCTACGGCCGCCTGCTCGCCGACTCGGGTACGCTCCCCTGCCCGCGCTCGCCGCGCTCGCATACGCCGTTCCCTGCGCGTGCCCCTCCGCTCCCGTACGCTGTGTTGCGCGCCTTGTCCTCTGCGCGCACTTCCCCTGTCCACCCCGCCGTCAGCGCCCCTTCCACCGCATCCCACTCCGGGCCCTACCATCACTTCCCCTGCTATGCCGGGCTTGTTCTTGATGAACCTCTTCACCCTTTGCCTCGCACCCCCCCCCATTCCCCCTCATTCCTGTCCATTCCCGTCCATCCCATCCCTTCCTTCCCCCCGCATCGCTCCACCCGTCCAACCGCCCGCAGCGCTGAACGGCAAGGCGTTTCAGACGGCGTCGCAGATGCCGGGCGTGTTCTCGCTGAACCTCTTCACGCAGTCGTCCGACGTGCCGTTCCTCGACTTCACCCAGGCCATGCTGCAATCCGAGCCCTGGCTGCCGCCCGACACGCCCATCTACTGCCCGGGTGAGATTCTAAGATGCCAGTATGGTGAGATGCTAGTCATCCGTGCAATTCGTCTGCTCGTTACCGCGTTCGAGCCCATCGATGCGCCTGGGGGGGTGACACTTCCCTCAACTGTTCTGCGCTCCCAATCCGCCCTCTTCTCCCCCCAGCGACGCTCGAGGCGGTGTATTCGGCGGTGAATCGGCGTGCGTACGTGTCGTGCGCCAAGGCGGGCAGTCCGCCCGACCCCAACGCGCCCGAACCGGGCATCGTCGAGATCGCCGGCGACGACAGCGTGCCCGTCGGCTACCTCAACTTCAAGGTGCGCCACGTGCGGTAACTTCAAGGTGGGGAAGGGGCAGGCGAACTGGTTGGGGGAGGGGGAAAGCGAGGTGAAAAGACAGGGCAGGGGAGAAGCCGGTGTGATCCGCTCCGCGTGGTGCAGATGCGTCCATCCTCACAACGCATCCCCTCATCCCATCCCTGTCCCTGTACACGCCCCCTCCAGGCGGACAGGCTGTACCTGACCCCAGACGAGACCTTCCTACTGGCCGTGGACAGCGGCGCGGGCGTGATCCGCATGGTGCAGATGCTGCCGGGCGTGGGCAGCGACCAGGTGTTCTCGCTGCAGTGGCCTGACGTCACTCTGCCGCCCAACTCCATGCCCGACAAGATCCTCTTCTACCCCAAGGTCAGCACCACAGCGCCCCTGTGCCTTGACTGAACTGTTATCGAGCCACCGTTTCTCTGCTTGGCCACTATCGCACCCGTCTCCCCCTCTCTCCCCGTCGCCTCCCTCGTTCCACACGCAACCACCAGGGGCTGCACTCGTGCACCTGCCCATGTCCACTCTCACCTGCTCCCTCGCCCCTTGGTTCTGCTCCCTTGTACTGTGTGGTCCTAGTGGCGCTGCTGCTGAGGTCTCCCCACCGCTTCTCTCTCCCCCTCCCACCTCGCAGGGGTCGTTCTACGTGGCGCTGGTGTCGCTGGTGCTGAGGTCTCTCAACCCAACCACCTCCCTCTCTCTCTCCCCCCCCCAACCCTCCCCTTCTCCCCACCTCGCAGGGGTCGTTCTACGTGGCGCTGGTGTCGCTGGTCCTCAAGGACAGCACGGCAGTGATCGATTTCAACAAGCTGCTCGCGTGTGGCGCGCAGTGCCCTCAAGACAACATCGCCGCCGCCCTCACCTTCATCAACACCGGCTACCATGTAAGCTGCATGCCCCCCCTTAATGTTGCTCTCTCAGTTTCCACACGATTGTTACCTTGGCCTCCTTGCCCTCCTTTAGTTCCACTGGTTAACATAATCAGAGCCTTTTTCTGCATCACTATCCTACCATCTCACGTTGACCCATAGCACTGGACCCCTCTGCACTCATGGCGTCCTTCCCTCCTGCCCTCACCACATGAGCCCTGCTTAAAACTCCCCAACCAATCAGGTGGCGCCACGTGCCAACATGGATCTGAGCATATCCTCTCGCAGCATGGCAGTGGGGCATCAGTTTGTGTGCGTGGCAGCCAATCACGACAAGGCGGTGCACTGTAGCAACCTCGTTAACCCCGCGAACAACAAGGTCTACACCAACATGTTTGACGTGCAAGATATAGTGTAAGTGGGTCGTGTGTACTTTCAAATGCTGCACGAAAGTGTGACACCAGCTGGAGTGGATGCGCTGGGCCTCTCAAACTGGAAATCATGCTGCATGATAGTGAGCTCAACGTTCCTCCTCTAACATCAATGTGTGTTCTCACCCTACACCGTCTTCCCTACCCACACACTCCTGCCACTCCCCCATCCCCACAATGCATGTGGAGGAGTCAAGCATATGGGCAACTAGTGGTTCACCACACAAAGACCCAAAATGCCTTTCAAGTCACTTGATAACTCAACATCATGTCGCCTTGCTCCCCTCCCCGTGCTCCTACTACCCCCTGACCACACCAGGTTTGTGGAGGGCAAGTACCCGGGAGACCAGTCGTTCATCCGCCCCATCGACACCACCTTCGACTGCTCCTCCGCGCCCACCACACTAGACAAGCCACCGCCACCCCCCTCGCCGTTGGACCTCGCCGTTGCTGCACACTTGAGAGGCTCCTAGCCGCCTCTCCCCCGCCGTTGCACCCTCGCTTCTTAATAAGTGCTTGGCGACTACACCATTTATCCTCACCACGTATTCTCTTCGCCCACCCTTGCCCACAAGACTGCTCGACGAGCTCTGACACGACGTGCCTTGCGCTCTTCTTTGTATGCTTATCAAAAGAAGTTAGAGATTGATGAAAGGAGTTAGGTGTAGTTGTACTGTAATTGTGTTTCAAAGTGCATTGAAAAGCAGGTTCATAGATTCGTTTAGCGCACCACTCCGCAAATGGCTTGTTTGGAGCTCAGTTGTTTGCCACAGCCGTTCCTTGTGTGAAATTCCTGCACACCTGCCTCTGCCCTGCGCCTCGCATGCATCTACATGCGCGCTAAACCGCCGTTCACCGCGCGTGTCCGACGTCTTCTTTACATCGCGCACACCGCCTCCGCTCCACCCCAGGCGTTGGCTGCGCCCGCGCGCCTCATGGCACTCAGAACGTTGTGCTTGGCGCCCATTTCTCCCGCAATCGCCCCCCTTGCACGTTCGACTCTTCCGCTCATCGATCGCATCCCTAGTGTCCCCCATTTCAGCCCCGGCGGCCTGCGCGTTGCCTGCCATTCGGTCGACGAAACCAGCCAGAGCGACGATTGCGGAGAGGGCAGGGCGCGAGCTGCCGCGCATCTAGATGGCTCGCAGACGTTTTCCGCGCGCAGCACGCCCGCGATTTCCCCCCGTGAAGGTACCCGCGGATTGATGGGGGATTACCTTTCCGCCTCCCGCTCCGCCGAAAGCGCGCGGGAGGGAAGCGTTCCCGCAAACGGCGACGCAACAGGCGGCGACACGATCGCGGCTGTCGTCACTGCCGTGTCGTCCACGTCAGGCGGCGTCGCGATCGTGCGGCTCTCCGGCCCGGCTGCTGTGAGCATCGTGCGGCGCATGTTCCGCCCCGCGCGGAAAGCAAACAGAGCGCGGAAGCAGGGGGGAATGGCCAGGGGAAGCGGAGACCTTGACGGATGGGCGGGGAGCGCGGGGAACGGAGCGTGGGGAACAGATACTGGGGATTTCCGGGGAGAGGCGAATGAGAGGAACGAGGGGAGCAGCCAGGAAGGGGAGGGGAGAGGCGGAGAGGCGATGGGGGGAAGGGGGGGGAGCGGGGAGGGCGGAGCGGCGGGGGAGTGGCGCGCGGAGAGCCACCGAGTGAGCTACGGGCACATTGTGGACGAACGGGGGGCGACCATTGATGAGGTGCGCGCAGGGGATGCGAGCAGTCAGGGTTTAGGGGTCAAGGCTCAGGGTTTCGGGTTTATGCGCCGTCGCGTGGCTCTGGGCGTGGGTTGATAAGCATAACCAACGATCGTGTCTTACTCACCAAGTGCCACAGCTTCCCATGCTGGATGTACTGAGGACACGGTGGGGTTTGTCTTGTCGCCCTAAAGTCCACTTGCTCTTGTCGTCCACGCGCTGAGGACGTGGTGAAGCCTCATCAACCTGCCCTCGCCTCTTCCCTCTCTCCTCCTCCCTCTCTCTCTCTCTCTCTCTCTCTCCCCTGCCTCACAGGTGCTCGTGCTGCCCATGCTCGCCCCGCGCTCGTACACGAGTGAGGACGTGGTGGAGGTGCACTGCCACGGTGGCAGGGTGTGCGCCCACTCCTGCCTCGCCACTGCCGTCCACCTTGGCGCCAGGCTGGCAGGAGCAGGTGATGACGTGGCATGAGGTGATGTGGCCTGCCAGTGTGCTGTCATTTGACACGGTGTGCCATGTGTGTTCCACAGTCAATGCGCACAACACAGTTTTCTATGTGAGTAAGTGCCAGGCCAGCTCACGCCATTGCCGTCCCGTGTCCCCCACTCAATGCACCCACACATGCACCTCCTCACTCCCCCATTCCCCCCTCCCTTTGTCCTCGGTGGCTTTGGCACACGCGGAGGTTGTGGCGGCCCCCATTCATCCGCTCCCCCTTCTACCCCCCTGCCTCTTCCCTCTAACCCCCCCCCACTCTTGTGCCCCAGGCGAGTTCACCCTGCGCGCCTTCCTGAACGGGCGCGTGGACCTAGCGCAGGCGGAGGCCATGGCCGCCCTCATCCGCACCCACATCTACCCCCTCACTCCCCCTCCCCCCCCTTCTCCCCACCCCCCCCATGCACGCCAGGCGAGTTCACGCTACGAGCATTCCTGAACGGGCGCGTGGATCTGGCGCAGGCGGAGGCGGTGGCGGCGCTCATCCGCGCCGACACTGCTGCTGCTGCGCGCTCCGCCCTCGCTGCTGTTGAGGTCCGTCCAACGGAGGAGAGGTGTTGGGGGGGAAGGCGGGAGGAGGCGTGTGGAGAGGCAGGTGTGTTAGGGGTGGTGCGCACGCCATTATTCCCGCCAACCACACTTGTGCGCTCTCCTGTTTCCCTGCACCGCCACATGCACCATTCACACTCCAGCACGCACCGTCCACCATCCCATGCTTCCATCCTCACTGTCCACCCTTCTCCCACACCCTCTCCTTGCTCCCCTTGCCACATTCACCATCCAGGGCGGCTTATCTCGTCACATCCGGGGCGTGCGGGCGGCGTGCATGGAGGTGCTGGTGGACATCGAGGCACGCATTGACTTTGAGGAGGATCTCCCACCGTTGGATGCCAAGGACGTCAGCCGTCGAATCGACGCCATCTGGCAGCAGATCAACGAGGCCCTTGCGACTGCCAATCGCGGGCGACTGCTGGAGTATGGCATCCAGGTGGGGCTGGCTGCAGCATTCAGTGACGTTGCAGAACCACTGTAATACAAGTAACAGATAATGCCAAGTTCCTTGTCAACTCCACTTTTCCACGTTGTCAGCACCTCAAGCGCTCTCCTTCTACAGCTGCCTCCCCTCCCCCTCTCCCTCTGCCCCTCCACGGCATCCCTCGGCAGGTAGCAATTGTGGGTCGTCCCAATGTGGGCAAGTCAAAGCTTACTGAACGCGCGATGCAGTCAAAGAGGGCGATAGTAACGGACACGCCCGGCACCACGAGGGACGTGGTGGAGGCGCAGCTGCACCTGCCGCTGTATTGGTTTCAAGCATTCTCACTCTTCAGCTTCCTCCCCTGCCCTCGCCCCTCCATCCTGCACGGCGTCCCTCAACAGGTGGCAATCGTGGGGCGGCCTAACGTGGGCAAGTCAAGCCTGCTGAACGCGTGGACGCAGTCAGAGCGGGCCATCGTGACGGACATCCCCGGCACCACGAGGGACGTGGTGGAGGCGCAGCTGCACCTGCCACTGTCGGCGGGGGGCTTCCCTGTGCGCCTGGCTGACACGGCTGGCATCCGCCACACCACCGACGCCGTCGAGGCCATTGGTGCGTGGCGCGTCTGCGTGACCCGTGTGTTGCTCTGCCGTGCTCTGCCGGGTTGAGCTCTGCCCTTCGGGGCTTGGTGTGTGAAGGCGACCTTGGGAAGCGGTCATGCATGTGCAGCGCATGGCATTGAGTCGCCAGGTTTGAATCCCTGCAGCAGCCATTCCTGGTGCACATCACATGCCCCTGTTGGAGTGCTCGTGCCTTGCTGCTGAGATGGGCGTGCGGAGCCCTTGTGTGCCTGCCTGTGCCTCCTCACCACATATGCTTCTCTGCTCTCCTGCTGCCTTGTGCATCATTGTGCCGCCCCTGCATTGCGGTGCTGGCAGGTGTGCAGTGGTCGGAGGCGGCAGCAGCGGCAGCAGACGTGGTGCTGCTGGTGGTGAGTGCAGCGGAGGGGTGGACAGCAGAGGACTCCGCCATCTTCCACCGCATCTCCGGTGCCATGGGCTTGCAGGCACACACACAGGGACATGCAGACGTGCATGCACATGCACATGCACATGCACATGCACACGCGGATGCACAAGGAGCAGTGGAGGAGGGGCGACCTTTGGAAGCAGGAGATGGGTCGGCAGAGACAACAACAGCAGCCACGGCAGCAGCAGCAGTAGCAGTGGCGGCGGTGGCTACAGAGTCAGAAATAGCACCACGGAGAGCAGCAAGGGCAGAAGTAGAAGCGCAAGCAAGGCCAGAGGGGCACCCGGTAATAATCCTGGTGGAGAACAAGAGCGACCACGCACACCCCCACGGCCTGCACGTGCCGCCAGCTGTGCAGCGCGCCGTGTGGCGGCGAGTGGCCACCATCGCCACCCTGCACACCGGGCTGGACGAGCTTGAAGCCGCCGTGGCGGCAGCGGTGGGCGGGGGGCTGGTGGCAGAGGAGGGGCAGCAGTGGGCGGTGAACCAGCGGCAGCAGCAGCAGCTGGTGCGTGCAGCTGAAGCCGTGGGGCGGGTGAGGGAGAGCATTGGAGCCGGGCTGGCGCTGGACTTCTGGTCCATTGATCTGCGCAGCTGCATCCTGGCGCTGGGGCAGGTGAGCGGCGACGAGGATGTCACGGAGGAGGTGCTTTCGAATATCTTCAGCAAGTTCTGCATTGGCAAATAGGAGTGCTGTGTCAGAGGTCCACTGGTGATCCTCGATTGATCCTGAGAAGTGTTACAGACATGTTGGCCTGGGGGGTTATGGGCGCATTGACCCGCTACTTAACAAGTCTTTTTATTCCAATTGTATAGTGGTTGGGATTCTGACATGGTGTCAGAACGAAGGTCTCGGGTTCGAATACCAATGTGTGCACTTCGGGCATCCCAGTGCATTGAATATGAAGATGAACAAGTGACACAGCAGGGTATGCATCCATCTACCCTTCCTAGAATGGCCCATTCACACCAATAATGGTGTACCAATAATTCTACCCTCTACCCTCCAATAATGCTTAACTCCAATAATTTTGGCCCTACAATAATTATGACAATTATTGTAGGACCTAGAAGCATGCAAGTATACAGTCGTTATACTGTATTTGGATTTCCAACACTTCCCCTCGCTATAGGTTTTAGTGAATTCGTTTTTCGTGGAGGATGGGGTGGTGTACCACCACATAGGCAGAGGTGCTCCCAAACTAAGCTAGGGTTTGGAACTGGCCAAGCTGCTGGTCGCTGTAGCGCTTTTCCCCTCCCAACCTTTGGGCCTTCCAAACTCGAACCAAACCACATTCCTTCACGTTTTCCATTTCCTCCTTGCCATCTCGACATTCTAGATCGAGATCTAGAGAGTCGTGTTAGAAAGAAGAAGTGTTGGACTAGAAAGGAAAGGGAGTACAAGTACCTAACCCTAGAATTGTGTACCCCCTAAAGGCTAATCCACTGTAGCCTACACAAATACAACATATATAATGTTTGACACACCCCCATAAGCTAAGTGGGGGAGAGCAAGCGGTCACAAGACCAGTCAAAGCAAAGCAAAGCAAGACAAGCTCAGGGTGGATCTCAAGGATACCACACAAATTCCGAGCACAAGCAAATGGTCACAAGACCAGTTCACATGCAGTTTGATAATAGAACAAGAGGTACAGTGATCACAACCTAGCAAGTGTAAGCATGCAGGTATATATATAGAGATCATAGTACAAGCAGAGTCAAGAAGTGAGCAAGTGAGGGAGAGTAGGCACAAGGCCGAGAACAGTACAGAAACGCTGATGATCACAAGGCTGAAGTGCCTTGGTGAACACATCAGCAGTGTTGGCCCGAGTGGCCACGTACGAGAGATGAAGCTGACCCCTCTGCTGCAGCTCTCGCGCTAGGAAGTAGCGCAGAGCGATGTGCTTCGTTCTGTGCTCCAGTCTGTGCTCCTCACACAAGGCAATGGCTGCCTTGTTGTCGACGTACAGCACTGGAGGAGAACGAGGCCGCTCTCCGAGGTCGGTCAGCAGGTAGGTGAGCCAGCGTAGCTCCTGGGCCGCCATGGCTGTGGCGTAGATCTCAGCCTCACAACTGGAGCTGAGAACAGAAGAAGAGCGTGTAGAACGCCAGGAAACAGAGCCAGAGCCAAGGCTGAAGGTGTAACCCTGAGACGACCGCTGCGTAGCCTGGTCGTTAGCCCAAGAAGCGTCTGAGTGTCCAGTGAGGACAACGTCGCGCCGTCCTCCAAGCACAAGCCCCATGCCCGACGTACTGCACAGGTAACGCAACACCCTCTTAGCGGCATCCATGTGCTCCTTCCGGTGACGGCCAGGAGCGACATAGCGTGCTAGGATGCTAAGAGGGTATGCAAGGTCAGGTCGAGTGCAGGTCATCAGGTACATGAGGCAGCCAACAAGCTCTGGATACGGGCCACTCGGCTCTACGGACTCATCCGAAGACAGAGCTGAGAGCGAGTGACCGGTAGGCAGAGGAGTGGGCTGAGGCGAGGAGTACGTGAAGCGGAAGCGCTGAAGGACCTGCTGCACCATGTGTGACTGAGTCAAGGTGATGGTGCGCTGTGCTCTGTCCCGGGTGATCCGCAAGCCAAGATAGCTTGTCAGCTCACCCAGGTCTGTGCACGTGTGTCTCTTCTGCAGCTCGGACTTCACGTGGGCGAGTGCCTCAGTGTCAGCAGTAGCAAAGACCAAGTCGTCGACGTACACGAGAACGTAGAACGGCGGCAGAGTGGTGTCGGTGCGTAGAAACAGCGACGGGTCAGCAGTAGAAGGAGCAAACCCAAGAGCCGCAAGCGTAGTCCGCAGTGTGTCGTGCCACTCACGGGGTGCTTGGCGGAGACCGTAGACTGGCCGCCGGAGGCTCCACTGGGTACCAGGAGGGAACGACCCAGTGAAGCCAGGTGGGCGGCGCAGCCAGATCTCCTCGTGCAGGCTGCCCTGTAGGAACGCAGTGCTGAAGTCAAGAGTGTGGAGCTCGTAGTCACGCCGAGCGGCGACGTGCAGCAGAACCCGAAGAGTGGTCATCTTCGGGGTCGGGGAGAAGGTCTGGAAGAAGTCAACTCCCTCTCGCTGACTGAAGCCTCGTGCAACGTAACGCGCCTTGAAGACAGGCGGAGAACCCGGCGGCCGCTTCACCCTGAAAATCCACATGCCACTGACGATGTTCGCCCCAGGTGGGGGAACCTCGTCGACGTAGGTGCCTGTGGATTTCCAGGAAGCCATCTCTGCGTCCATGGCTGTCTGCCACTGAGAGGAGTAGAGACCCTCCATCGCCTCTGCGTAGGAGCGTGGGGTCGGGATGTCTGGTGCGTCCGGGTCTCCCTCAGGGGCAACTAGCATGGACACGAGATGAGGCAAAGCAGCGGCAAAGCACTCAAACTCCTCCTGTCTGTCCTCAAGGACGTCCGTGCCAAGAGCACACTCACCCCCGACGGACGGAGGACAGACAGACTCAGACTCAGCAACAAGGCTAGTGGTGTAGTCTAGACGACAGGCGGCAGCAAAGTCAACAAGCTCAGCGACTAGAGCAGACGCAGCAGAGGACTCGAAGGAAGGGTCAGTGACAACAGTGGCAAGGAGACGCGTGACAGTAGGACTGGCAGCACGAAGAGAGTCAGACTCCGGGTCAGCAAGAGCAGGAAGAGAGGACGCAGGAGGAGACGGCAGAGGGACACGCTGTGGGGCAGTGGAAGGACGCAGAGTCATATAGTGAGTGCCAGGGACAGGAGGAGGTCGCTCACGCGGAGCACGACGACCAGCGCGGACAGCACGGACAGGTGACTCTGGACGCGACTCAGGCGACGGAGGACGAGACTCAGGCTCACGACGCTCCGTAAGACCTCCCGTCGGCTCAGCGTAAGGAGAAGGACCAGGCAGTGGAGAGGCTGGCTGTAACTGTGACTGCGACTGGACAGGCGGTGGACTCAGTAGGGGAGGAGAAGGACCAGTAGAGGGCGGGAGACTAAGAACCTGCTGAAGGAGCGGAACGTAGTACGGCCGCGGCCGCTCAGCACCTCCAGCAACAACCCCCTCAGCAGGCCCAGTCCCAGCAGCTCCAGTACCTCCAGTACGAGCACCCCCAGGACCTCCAGTAGTGCCAGCAGCACCGCTAGCAGCAGCAGCACCTCCAGCAGCTCCAGTAGCACCAGCAGCACCTCCAGTAGTAGCAGTACCTCCAGCAGCTCCAGCAGCACCAGCAGCACCACCAGCACCAGCAGCACCTCCAGCAGCGTCAGCAGCACCAGCAGCACCTCCAGTAGTAGCAGTACCTCCAGCAGCTCCAGCAGCACCAGCAGCACCACCAGCACCAGCAGCACCTCCAGCAGCGTCAGCAGCACCAGCAGCACCTCCAGTAGAAGCAGCACCTCCAGCAGCTCCAGCAGCACCAGCACCAGCAGCACCTCCAGCAGCACCAGCAGCACCGCCAGCAGTAGCACCTCCAGCACCAGCAGCACCTCCAGCACCAGGGTCCGCGGCACTAGGAGCGCCACTCCGGAGACTGCAGCGCTGAGCGTACCAATCCCGGAGCCGCTGGGGAGAGGGCAGCTCCCGCCTAGGAGGGGAAGCACTAGCACCAGCTCCAGCAACACTCCTAGCTCCAGAAGCACCCCTCCTGAGGCTGCAGTACTGTAAGTACCACTCTCGTAGCTGCTGTGAGGAGAGAGCTCCTCCAGGTGAAGCACGCTCAGTCTCAGCACCCTCAGACGTAGCACACCCAGGCTCAGCACCCCCAGACTCAGCACCCGCAGGCTCCGCACCCCCAGGCTCAGCACCCCCAGACTCCGCACCCCCAGGCTCCGTACCCCCAGGCTCAGCACCCCCAGGCTCCGCACCCCCAGGCTCCGCACGCTCAGGCTCCGCTCGCTCAGGCTCAGCACCCCTAGCAGGACGAGAGTCGACAGCTACCTCGACAGGCTCAACCGGGTCTACCTGGGACACACCTGAGGGAGCGGCACCCTGAGGGGGGAGGGGGTCTACCAGAGCAGCACCTGGCGCGAGGAAGAGAGGCGGGGGGGGGAGCGGGGCAGTGCGGTAGGGGAAGAGGCGGTAGTAGGGCACGGACTCATCAAAAGTGACATCCTGAGAGGGCAGGACACGGCGCGAGGTGGCGTGGTAAAACTGCCAACCAGACGCGTCCGGGACAAAGCCAAGGAAGACACAAGGAACAGCGCGGGAGGAGAGCTTGTCCGCGGACGTATCGCGAACAAAAGCTCGAGAACCCCAGACCCGAAAACGCGACGCATCGCCAACCTCTCCCGTCCAACGCAGTGTCGGGGAAGTCTCCGGCAAGGAGACACGGGGCCAGAGGTTGAGCTGATGCGCAGCGTATCGGACCGCAAACGGCCACAGAAAGTGGGGGGCAGCCGCATGGATCAAGGAGGTACGAGCGACCTCCATGACCAAGCCAATGCGGCGCTCAGCAACCCCATTCTGCTGTGGAGAGGCCGGAGGCATGAACGACTGGCGGATGCCGTGCTCCGCACAGTAGGCTGCCAAGAGGTCGGAGGAGAACTCACCACCTCTGTCAGAGTGCAAACGCAGGACAGGAAAGTCCGAGTGGAAACGCTCACTGAGCTGGAGACGAGAAGCGCGGATGCAAGGGATCAAGACATCAGGGACCTCACCCTTGGTGCGCAAGGGGAAGACCGTGGTGTAGCGCGAGTAGTCGTCAACAACGATCAGGAAGTAC